ACTTTTACACTTATATACGTTATATACTTATGTATACTTTATATACTTACAATACCTTAAAAGGATTAGTTCACTTTCAAATTAAAATTTACTGATAATTTACTCACCCCCATGTCATCCAAGATGTTTACGTCTTTCTTTCTTCAGTCGAAAAGAACTTAAGGTTTTTGATGAAAACATTCCAGGATTATTCTCCTTATAGTGGACTTCAACGGTTACCAAATGGTTGAAGGTCAAAATGACAGTTTCACTGCAGCTTCAAAGGGCCACGATACCAGACGAGGAATAAGGGTCTTATCTAGTGAAACGATCGGTCGTTTTCTTTCAAAAAAATTTCAATTTATATACTTTTTAACCTCAAACGCTCATCTTGTGTAGCTCTGCAATGCGCATGTGTACTCTTTGCAGTCCCGTTCGAAACAGTTAGGGTATGTCGAAAAACTTCCATCTAATTTTCTCCTCCAACACTCTTAAAAAAATAAAGGTGCTTCAAAAGAAAGTGAACATGCAAAGAAGGTCAAACGCCCTTTATAAAAAAAAAAGGTAAAACAGCGATGTAGGACCATTTTGAAGTTGGAGGAGAAAATGAGATAAGAGTTTTTCGACATACCCTAACTGTCATGAACCAGAATGCACAGAGTTCACGCAGAGCTACACAAGACGAGCGTTTGAGGCTAAAAAGTATATAAATTGAATTTTTTTTTAGAAAATGACCGATCGTAGAATTCGCTAGATAAGACCCTTATTCCTCGTCTGGTATTGTGTACAGCCCTTTGTAGCTGCAGTGAAACTGTAATTTTGACCTTCAACCGTTTGGTAGCCGTTGAACTTCACTATAAGGAGAATAATCCTGGAATGTTTTCATCAAAAACCTTAATTTTTTTTTTTTCGACTGAAGAAAGAATTTTGCTTTAGCTCATAACAATAACTAAGTATAGCATACACAGTCATGGCCAAAAGTTTTGGCAGTGACATAAATTTTGTGCTTTGCAAAGTATGCTGCTTAAGCTGTTGTGGTGTTCATTCACATTGTTTCTAGATTATTGTGTAGAGTGATCAGATGCATTTTAAATAATTGCTAAAAGCTTCATTGGCCAAAAAAAAAACTTTTCACAAAAAAACTAATTTCACAGTTTTTTTTTATCCTGACACAAAATGACCAGCTAACATTAACTGACTAAACCAGGGGTGTCTAAACTCGGTCCTGGAGGGCCGGTGTCCTGAAGAGTTTAGCTCCAACCCCAATTAAACACACCTGAACCAGCTAATCAAGCTCTTACAAGGCATACTAGAAACTTAAAGGCAGGTGTGTTGAGGCAAGTTGGAGCTAAACTCTGCACGACACTGGCCCTCCAGGACCGAGTTTGGGCACCCCTGGACTAACCAAGAAAAACGTCAAGGACAGACTGAAATTCTGCAGGAAGTACAAGGATTGGACAGGAGAAGACTGGGACAAAGTTATTTTCTCTGATGAAGCTCCCTTCCGACCATTTGGGACATCTGAAAAATAAATTTTTCAGAGAAGAAAAGGTGAACAGTTGGTGTTGTGCCAACAGTGAATCATCTTGAGACAATCCATGTGTGGGGTTGCTTTTCAACCAAGGGAGTGGGCTCTCTCATAATTCTGCCCAAAAACATTGCCAGGAATAAAGAATGGTG